CGGTTAAGCTGGTCCAATATCTCATCCCCGGACCATTCTCTGGGTCTAAGGCGACGCTCTGTGTTCCCGTCGAACTCTTTATCTTTTTCCCTCCACTCATGGTCCCATGGCAACCATCTCCGATGACCAAGGTAACAAACTTTTCCAGCATGCCAACCAGAAGTTACATCTTCCTTGCATACAGGACATGCCATATAACCTTTTGTGCTCCACCCAGAAACCATTGCATATGCTGGGAAATCATTCACAGTCCACATAACTGCTGCCCGCAAAGTGAACATCTTCCCAGTTGATTTATCGTACGTGCGAACACCGTTTGTCCACAAATCCTTCAGCTCATCAACCAGCGGCCTTAAGTAAACATCGATTGACCTCCCAGGATCCTCAGTTATCACAACAGTCATCATCATGTATTCTTTTTTCATGCATTTCCAAGGCGGCAAATTATATGGGAATACGAAAATCGGCCAAGTGCTGTGGTGTTGGTTTAGAACCCCATACGGATTGAATCCGTCAGTGGCAAGTCCCAATCTAACATTTCGGGGATCAGCAGCAAACTCTGGGAACGTTCGATCGAACTCTTTCCATGCCTCCCCATCTGCAGGATGCCGCATCACATCATCGTCTACCCGTTTTTCCTGATGCCATCTCATGTCTGTGGCAGTATGCGTCGACATATACAATCGCTGCAACCTAGGTTTCAGGGGCAAATAACGCATGACTTTTTGTGGGATCTTAGTCGTCCTATTCTGAGATGTCATCTTGAACCTCGACTCATTGCATATAGGACATGTATCCAACGATTCATGCTCTTTGTAGAATAACATGCAATTGTTTTTGCAAGCATGGATTTTTTCATAACCCAATCCAAGACCATTCAACACCTTCTGCGCCTGTTTATGATCTTTCGGCAAACAATTGTCCGTCGGAAGCATTCTCTTGAAAACCCCCAAAAAGTAATCGAAACACAGGTTCGACATACGATACTTTATTTTTCCGTGCATTAGCTCCACAATGGCCGTGAGAACGGAAAAGCTCTCGCACCCCGGGTATAACTCTTGGTTGGCATTTTTTAACAATTTCTCATTTTGTTCAAACTCCGCACTGTCTATTGGTGTAGGCACATCATCTTGCTCTTCTTGATTCATGTTGGTCGATGCAAATGGAAAAACATCCTGTATAATATCCATGACTTGATCATTAGCATCCAAAATTGGTTGAACATTGTCCACTCTTGTGGCATTTGAAGACGAAGCATGCTCTAATTGTTCCCCGTGAAGGTTCCAAATGCTATATGTCTCAATCATTCCATTCCTTACTAAATGAAATCCAACATTTTCAATTGTCTCCCATAACGTGTTGTTGCACCTCCTACAAGGACAACGGATTCTAGTTGCACCCGGGTTGTGTCTACGTGCAAACTCAATAAAATCCTCGATTCCATCCAAGTATTCGTCTGCGCATCTGTTCGGGTTTTGTATCCACCTTCTGTCCATAATTCCTGAAACCAGAATCACAACACAACAATCACAACAACTTCATACGAAGTTATAATGTCACCTTATGCCTCCGGTAAGGGTCCTATCCCATTCGGGAATGCATACTCCTGCCACGTAACCTACGACTACATGAGATTAGATTTCGACGTGGATGAATTTCGCCAGCATCTCGCTACAGTTCTTGAGGTGGCCATAGGTATAAATACCTATGTACCACCCGAAGAACGTACCGAGATGACAACGAAATATCCACAATCGAAACCTAATCCTGTAGCCATAGATTACGTGACAACACTATGCATTACCAAACTGTCCAAATAATGGGACAATTCAAGAATTAATTGGACCGCAGTCATGCATTACGCATCCATGCACGAAATCCAACTAATCTCGAACGGGAAACTAAGTGTTACTAAACATAAAAATAAAAGCACGAAGTTAATTTCAATTAATTTCGTACATCACAACAGATTGTACTACGTTACGCAGAACATAATATAAATATAACTTCACAAGAACATTTTAAACATATATAAAACAAATAAAATACCTTCTCAATCGTTCTCCACCAATCGCTAATTCGAATATCCCTAACGAAAACAAATTAAAAAACCTTAGTACGAACTTAAATTAATACTTTTAAACTAATGACGAAAAATACTTACCCAATCAATGTATTGAAATCCCAGCAGCAGCAGAGAGGTTGAGAGAGAGGCAGAGGCAGAATGCTTTGTTTTTGCATTCTGCCTCTGCAATGGCAGAATTCTAATATGAAGAAGAAGGACTTTGCGCGCCGAACATCACTATTATTCGTCGCGCAAACTTCCGTCGCAAAAAACCAAATAATCCGTCGCGCAAACCCATTTTTTTTGTCGCGCAAACACCTGCCGACATCTAACTTTTGCGCGACGCTGGTACTTTCCGTCGCGCCACATTTCGTCGCGCAAAATTGTCGCGCAAAAACAAAATTCCGTCGCGCAAAACAAGATATTCGTCTCGTAAACGTTGAACTTTACGCGACGAAATGTACTTACGTCGCGCAAAAAAAAATATCCCACCCAGGTCATTTTTGGCGCCAAAAAATAAAATATCTCTTGTTCTCTTACGCGACGAAACGTCTTTCCGTCGCGCTTAATAGGGGGACTGCCCTATATTCGCGCGGTATTCGTCGCGCAATGTTGCCTTTAGCGACGATATTTCTCGTCGCGCAAATGTTTCGCGCTAAAAAAATTCCCCCCGCTTTTTTTAACTCTGTTTGCGCGACGAAAAATTGTTTTGTCGCGCATATACATTTTGCGCGACGAAAAATTTTGGTGGCGCAAATTTTCAGTGGATTGCGTGACGAATAGGTTTTTTAGTCGCGCAAGTATGGTTTGCGCGACGAGTTGTTCTTCGTCGCGCGATCTTTCGTCGCGCAAATAGTGAAACGTAGTAGTGAATAATGGTGGGCGAAAAGATAAGAATTGTGTCCTTTCTAAATTTACAAGGTGGGGGGCGAAGATAAGGTGGAGTGGAGGGGAGCAGAAAGGTGAAAATAGCAGCAGCACTATTACTATATATGTACCAAAATGTTAACGTACTGTTTGGCCTTTTAGGAAATGAGTAAAACTAGATTATTCGGGCACTTTTATTTCATGAAAGAATTAGGAAAGGACTTATATTCTTTCCAGCTCCGATTACCTATTTAATGCACATAGAAAATTGTGCAGTATAAAACAGACATAACTTTGTCCAGTTTCAACAGAAAGAAAAAGAAGAAGAAAAATTGTCCTTCGTGAAAAAATGAGTTCTCTGAGAAATGTTGTTATGCCTTTGCTGGTAATTCTTTTCATAACAACTTCTGTGGATGGTGCTCTCCTTGATGCTCCTAAGGACGTAGTCGTCAGAATCACCAACGCGTTACAAAACAACGTAAACTTGACGGTGCACTGCAAATCCGGCGACGACGACCTTGGGATGCAGACACTTCGTATAAATGAAAACTTTGAGTTTAATTTCCAAACAAGTATTTTTGGAACTACACTCTTCTTCTGCGGGTTTAAATGGTCGAATGAATTTCGTTGGTTCGATATTTTCACAGATAAGAGGGATGATTGCAGCAGTTGCTATTGGACTATAATTGAACTTGGGCCTTGCTTGTATGGTATTGACGGTCTCTGCTATCAGTGGAACAAGCATTAGCTTAAATTCCAATGTCAACCTTAAAATAAAGAATTCTTCTCAATTTTAGCCACGATCCATTATCTTATGGGAGAGGTTTGTCAGAAGAAAAATAAAAATAATTATGTAATCCTCGTTCGTAATGAATAATCTGATTATTGTCTATTGCTATTCTTTTCTGCCATTCTTTTGCTATAAAATGCAATGTCTCAAAGTGAAAAAATAAAATAAAATAAAATCTGTTTACTCGAAGAGGAATGCTAGTAACCTTCTCTTTTGGACCTTCTCCCTTTTTTTCTTGTCATGTGTCATTCTCCTTACACTTAAAACGATGTCATTAATTTATTATGCAAGCTAACTTTTGCTTTCCAAGTTTACACTTATTAAATGTATTCAATTTATCCAAAAAAAAAATCACAACTTTCTTACCATCTTATTAATTTTTTTCTAACGTCAATTATTTTTTTTAAAGAAAATATATGCTTTTAAGAGGAAATGTCCCTTAAAAAAAAAGTCATTTGTGTTATAAAAAAAAAAAAAGACATTTCCTCTTTTTTGAAAAAAGCAGATATTTTCTTTAAAAAAATAATTGATGTTTAAAAATAAATTAATAAGCTGGTAAGAAAGTTGTGAATTTTTTTGGATAAATTGAATACATTTAATAAGGGTAAAATTGGAAAGCAAAAGTTAACTTGTATAATATATTAATGACATTGTTTTAAGTGTAAGGAGAATGACACATGTCAAGCAAAAAAGAGAGAAGATCTAAAGGAAAAGGTTAGAGAGAAGGTTGCTAGCATTTCCCTTACGCGAATGTTGGAAATGGAAAGAGATCAAAATTCACATGGGAGTTTTGTGTCATGCCTTGGTCACCACCAACCAAATTTGTAGTCCCGCATTGGTTGTGTCTCTAACAGATATACATGTTCCAACATGTGTCAGTATGTCTATTTAAACACCATTAATCCTCATTCCATAAATAATATCGAATTCGCAGGACATAGCACTAAAATATTTGTGTGCATTTTCTGAGAGATAAGCACACATATTTCGCCAGAAAAAGAATTTCTGGTATGGCCGATATTCTTTTTCAAGGACATTGCAATCCAGCAAGCCTCTCTCTGCACAAAGAGTGAGTGTTTCATTACCGTTTGTTATTTAATTTCATGTTTTTATTTCATTCCGTATTGCTAGATTATTTATTTAATTAGTAGAATAAATAATCATTATAAAACTAATTGTTGCTCCGTCAACAATATTATCGGAAAACTATCCGCACAAGATCAAAATTTTTTTTTCCTTTTTTAACCAATAGATATATAATATATATTACAAACTAACATTTTAATGTACCAGAATATTATCAGAAAACTATCCTCACGAGATCAAAAGATTTTTCCTTTTTTGACCAATAGATATATAATATATATTACAAACCAACATTTTAATGTACCGGAAGGAGGAGCGTATACAGATGCTAAGGGGTTTCGTTTAAAATGTTAAATTTGACAGACCCCGATATGGTTCACCATAGTCACCCTAAGAAATGGAGATAATGGATGACGGTGGCTGATGGAAGTGATTAAGGTATGATATAAGAAGGCTGATGAAGTAATTGAATCGTGATTAGAAGGTAATTAACAATACTTAAGCTTATTAAATTTTAAATATACCCTATCAAATTTCTCAAAAATCATCAGGACTGACGTAGGTGATTAAGGCATGATGGAAGCTGACGGAGAAAATTGAGGCATAATTGAGAGCCACTCTTCTGATATAAAAGCACACAGTTGAACGTTCCCAGCAGTAGACTCTTAAAAGAACAAAAAAAGATAAAAAGAAATCCGAGTGCTAGAAAAATGAGGGGATCAACAATTCTGCTGTTGCTTGTCTTAGGGTTTATAGGCCAAAAAAGCAGCTGCATTGATATCTTCCCCGGAAAAAAGCACTTTGTGCGAATTGTGAACCAGCTCGAGAAGGAACAACTCGACTACCATTGTCGATCGGCAGACGATGATGTTGGCCTTCGCAGCCTTCTCCCCGATGGGGAGTGGGAGTTTGGATTTCGCAATGACTGCATCAGGACACACTGGGACTGTGATTTTTGGTACGCAAATTACAGTGCTCATTTTCGAGCGTTTGACTGGTATGATGATTTTTTGGAAAAATGTGGTGGGGCCCACTGCATATGGGCGGCCAGAGAGGATGGAATATCCTTGTATAGCATCACAGAGAACGAATGGTATATAGAGTTGGGCTGGACAGAAAACAAACCACACCTTTAAGAAGATATATGATGAGATGTGCCAAGCCATATGGTTTTGCTAGTTTTTTGTTTCTTTTGTTTTTTTGTTTTGTTTTTTTTTTTCATCATACGATAAGGAAAATGTCGGCCATTGGGATCTTAATTATTGTATGTAGTAAGAGGAAATGTTTTTGTTTTCATTGTTATTTCTTTTTTGCTCAGTCTTCTTTCTCATTCAAGTTCTTACTTTTTTTTCTTGGATCATGACTTAATCATGAGCAGAAAATGGGGTGTATCGGTAGATATAACGAAATAATAGTTATGATGTTTCTTTTTCTAATTAAACGAGTTCAAATCCTCTGCTGAACTGTAGTCCTTTATGTGTTGAATTAAGTAATTATATATGTCCAAACTACGTTATTTTAAGCGACTATTAAAATGTAATAGCATTATTGCTAATTTTTTAGTACAAAACTTTAAATGCTAGGGGCTTGTGGGTCGTCAATTAAGGTATGTAATGTGAGATTATTTCTTGGTTTGGGACTCCTCCCAAAATTATTAAGTAATGTGAGGTTGAGGTGAACTTAGAGTGGTGAAGGACAAGATAGCGGAGTGTGTAGTGTGAGGTTCATGAGTTATTATTATTATTATTATTATTTCTGATGGTTGTGTATTTAAGGGTAGTTTAGGAAGATAGTGGAGTTTTTTTAGAAATTGTGAAAATTTGAATTATAAGTTGGGGTGAACTTAGAACATGAGGTGACAAAGAGAAGTGTGGGGTTGAATAAAAAAACTCTATATTATCCTTCATGAAATAACATGTCTATGTCTATTTGCTCATTATATAATATATTTTTTTTGAAGCTCATTAAATAATATTTTTCTTGAAGCTCATTAAATAATATTTAGATAAACATGAAATTAGTTATTGTACGTAGTCTAAGCTTGAAACCCCAATATATTTTGGAATTCGAAATTTTTCATAATTCGAGATCCATTCTAATTCCAATCCAACTTTTTTCAGAATTTTCATATCGAAATCGGATTTCCAATCCAACTTGCAAGTTGCACCTACGTATGTATATAAAATGTATTGGACGTCACACCACATTTGTGAATTATACTGTTCACTTTCTGTCGAAACAATTTCTTCTAGAATATGCATACAACGTCGATAACATCTATATTTCTTTTGTAAGAAAAATATATTATAGATTTCCATTAGGTAGCAAAGCAGGAATCTCGGGTATCTGATTCGGGAAGGTGACGTACCAAAAAAACATTTGCGTCCTCATTACATTAAACGTTTCATTTAAAATGCTTAATTTATATTCCGTTGTTACTTAAGATGTTTAAGCTGCATTCCGCTATACTATATATGAAAAGAAAGACAAGGGTTTTGTGTGTGAGACTTGGGGAGAGAGTGAAAAAACTTTTTCGAGTACAAGCGATTGAGGGAGGGGGGTTTTACACAAATATATTTATAAAAGAAAAAAATAAAGGAAAAAATAAAATGGGGAAAGGTTGGCTCGTTGAAACAGGGGAAGAGACCCTACTTGCAAACAATGAGGTTTTGACACTTGTCAAATTTTTTGGTTCTTTTTTGTTGAAAATTTGTCAATGTTGCTTGAATCTGACAAGTGTCAAAACGCCATTGATTTTAAATAGCCAAGCCAAGAGAAAATCAAAGTTCATGGGGGTGATTAAGGGATGAGGGTGGTTGATGAATCTGATGGGGAGAAATAAATAAGGCACATGATTGGATAGCTGATTACGCTTACTATAATTTGAATTATCCAATCAAATTCCTCAGAAATCAAGGGTGATTGCGCATGATTGAATAGCTAATTAAGCTTATTATGATCTTTCGAGTATCCAATCAAATTCCTCAGAAATCCTGGCTGATTCAGATGATTAAAGGAGGTATGATATGTCTGCTGCTTAAATCAAATTCCTCAGAAATCATGGCTGATTGAGGTGATTAATTAAGCTGATTTAGACAACTGAGGCATAACTGGAAGACAATTAACAGTAGTTTAGCTGGTCATTTTTAGATTATACCCTATAAAAATTGCTCAATAACGACTATTGATGGCAATGATCAAGGCATGACTCTTGAGGCTGATGGAGGTTGATGGCAGTAAAATTCAAGCTCATGGAGAAAACTGAAGCATGATTGAAAAGCATATCCTTCGCTATAAAAAGCACACAGCAAGAGCGCAATGCACAGAGTGGACCAAATTGTATGTCGACTACCATTAGAAAAATGAAGGGATCAACCCCAAGATGGCAGCTGCACTTTTTTTTGGTCTTGCTTGCCCTAGCCTTTGTTGGTCAAATTAGCTGCTTTAATCCGCATCCAATCTCCGGGAGAAAGCACTTCGTCCGTCTTGTTAACAATCTCCAAAACGGGCAACTTTTGGTTAAGTGTGGATCCGAAACTCCAGATGATCTTCTTGGTGAGCATCTTCTTGGCACCAATGAGGAGTATGAATTTGGATTTCGCATGAACCTCTACCGCACTAAATTTTACCGCTGTGATATGTCCTACTCCAATTACCATAATCGTTTCGAAGCATTTACCGCCACTAAACATTTTCTGGAAAAATGTGGCGGAGTTCATTGCATATGGAGGGCGCAAGAGGATGGGATATCCTTGTACAACATCAAGCATGATCAGTGGTCTCTGATGTACCGTTGGGAAATACAGAGAATTTAATAGATGAAGAAGATGATGAGACCCCAAGCTTAGCTTTCTTTCTGTGTTAATGTACCTAAACAAATAATTTGATATTAATGGTTTTGTTTCCCCATGTTATCTTGTTTTTTTAATATAAGTCAGAGTCTAAACTACGGATCCAGATCCGTTGCTCTGATTTTCTCTGCCATGTTATGCTTTTGGGGATTTAAAAGTTGATATATCATCCTTTAAAAAATAAAAAATAAAACCCTAACACACTAACGGAATAGTTTTCTTCGAATTAACATCAAAAGACTCATAAAAGTTTGGGGTCATTCTCAATATAGGTCCTCGAGTTTTAATTTAATCATTTTACATCCAATGATTTTAAAATTTGACCAATTTAAGCCTTCCACTAAGTTGACCGTATGGTCAAACGTTAATTGATGACGTGTCCATTGTCAAACCCACAAATTTCTAAAAAAATAAAAAATTAATTATATAATATAATAAAATGACATTTTTTAAAAACTTTTTAAAAAAACCTCCCTCTCTCTCTGCGTCCCCTTCTCTTCCCAGCTCTCCCACCCCATCCCCATTCCCCCTCTGATGAATCCAATCACTCACACCTCGCTAAAACCAAGTCCATCACTCCTCTCCTTTCACTCCGCCGCAGCACTGCCCACCCCTCTTCCTCATCCCCACCCCACCTTAAGGGAATGATAGTTTCAGTGCATGGGTGAAATGGATATCGAATGTTTTAGGCGAAAAGTGAGATGGGTATGGTGTTCTGATGAAGAGGGTGGCCATGGATGCATTGAAGATTTGAATTAAGGCCTATTCTTTCTTGTCTCTGGCTCTGCTCAAAGTTCAAAGTATCAGAATTTTGATTTTGATTTTTGTAAAACAAAGTAGCAGATTTGGTTCAGGGCTAGAAATCTAGGCGTCAGAACTACCCTTCTCTAGATGAGATTTGATTTTGGAATGAGGGAAAACTGCATAGTTCTTAGGCAGATATTTAGGTGAAGCAAAAGAATTGGTATTTGACTAAGAATATGGGGTTTTAATCCTCATATCAGGTCCAAAAAGAATGTTCTTACTCTCTGATGAAAGAGAGACTTTCCCATAAACCTTTGACCAACAAAAGACTTACCCATAAACCTTCACATCATCATTAAGAGAATCTATTATGCTTAACCCTACTTTACTGCTACCCCAGCTCCTCTGCGACCCATCATTGTTGGACCTTGGGGACCTAAAAGGGTTGCCCAAATTTGAAAACACCCTAAAATCTAGAGGAGAAGTTGGGCTCATAACTGAATCAAAATCTGTTAAACCCTTAGAACTCAACCCCACAAACAGACCATGAACACTGAAAAAATAGTTGCTTTTGGGATTGTGTCCCAAAACATTAGACCCAGCATCAGCAATTGGCAAACGACCCATTTGGTGTTGATTCTTCTGAATTGACCTGCTTCGCTTCCTCGGCATTATCTCAACTATCTCCCTTTTGGGAACCAAAAGCCCTCCTTTTCCTCAGCATTTTCTCAATTGTCCCCTATATCAAAATTGAAAGACATAGGATTATCCACTCTCTCTGTCTCAGCAACTTTTCCAAAATTTCACAAAACCAAAACCGTAACCTTTCTGCAACCTGTTTGAATTCAAAATTTTAGAGAGGGCAAACGAGTAGTAGATGGCAGAGCTACGCTTCGGAGAGGAGGTGCAGGTGGCTGGACATGTCAGAGGGTGAGTGGGGATGTGGTAGGAGAGCTTGGATGAGAAGGGGACGGAGAGATAGAGAAGGATATATATTTTTAAAGTTTTTTTATTTTTATTTTTATGTTATTATATATTTATTTTAGAGATTTGTGGGTCCCTTAATGGACACGTCATCAGTTAACGTCTGACCAAACGGTCAACTTAACGGAAGACTTAAATTGGTCAGATTTGAAAATCATAGGGTGTAAAATAATGAAATTGAAACCTGATGACTCATATTGAGAATGACCCCAAACCTTAAGGGGGTCTTTTGATGTTAATCCTTTTTTTTTTCTCTTGCTTCTAGCTATGTCCTCTTCTCTTTTTTGCCTTCTTCCTTACATTCTTGCTTTTTTTTTTCCTTCTTCATGTCTCTGCCCCAAATCTTACCTCTCAGTAAGCTTTCTTTTTCCCAAACCTATGTAATCATAATCCCTTCCTTTTTCCCTATCAAAAGAAGAAGAAAAAACTTTTCCTCCCATATCCAAAGGATTTCTTTGTTGTTAATCAACTCAACACTTGGCTGAAATAACTTTTAATGTTGAATTACAACGGGGTTGAATCTGGCAAGGTGTGAGTCTCACATGAGCATTTTAAATGACATGGCAGTACATGTGTTACTCAACAGATGACTAGTAATATCCTAATACATTCTAATGTGTGTAATGCATGATTTACCTTTAAGGTGATTTGCATTTAGCCACACTTTGTTTCTGTCATAGTAGGCCTCTCCAAACTAGTCTAACCACTAATCAAACTTGAGCTTGATGATGTAGAGCAGCAAATACAATGTTTTCCAAAAAAGCCAAAAAACAAAATAGCTAAAGCTAACCTAAGAAAAAGGCAATAATAAATCGAAGGACAAAATCAAGGATGCTGGAGGTGATTAAGGCATGATATGTTTCTGTGATAGTAGGCCTCTCCAAACTAGTCTAACCTAGACTATTTAAACTTGAGCTTGATGATTTATAGTATCGAATACAATGTTTTCCAAAGAAGCCAAAAAAACAAAAGCAAAAATAGCTGAAACTAACCTAATAGAAGGGCAATAATAAATCATAGGATAAAATCAAGGATGATGAAGGTGATTAATGTAAATGTATGGATTTTGTAATTTTCTTTTAGCTTCCCTTGACAAGTTTGCAATAGGACAATCATTGTATTTTCTCAAGCTCAAGTTTGGATTAAGAATTTCATCTCCAGGTGTTCTTATCTGGCTACATTATGATGGACAACATTGTGTTTGACAAAGGTAAGTTTTGCATTGCATTAACTTATTCCTAATTATTATGACTAGTCATCCTTTCTCCGTATGACTAGTTATCATCCATATGACTAGTCATCCTTCCTCCATATGACTAGTCAACCTTTGCGTTAGTAAGATTTCCAGGTTACTGTTTTCAGCTGGATCCTACCCACTTTTTTGTCTTATTCTGCGAAATCCTCTGCTGCCTTGTATGATTCTAACCTAAGAATTTTGGAGTAAAAACGCATGCATTCCTCATTTGGTAGCCGTCACTTTTGTAGGCACGTTTTGGAAAGTTTCTTTGTAAACTTTCTCTTCTTCCTCAAGTGTAACCTTCATATTTTTCATATTTGAGTTTTCCAAAATGTTTCTTTTTGAAAACTGCATTTGAAATATGAAAACCTCATCTTGCTAGATCAAACACTCTCTCATATATATTTAGGTCAGATTCAAGATTGATTTCTTCAAGAGTATGGTTTCTTGAAGAAATTGGTCATTCTTCCTTTGAATTCAAATTTCCTTCTTGTTTGAGTTGGAGCTAGCCAGCTAGTGCCATGGAATGAAAGAGCTGAAGAAGGAGCTGTCATTGTCATGAAGACCTAAGTTGCTGGTTTTGCTAAGCTAGAGAAGAAGATTGGACAAAGGAAGTAAAACTCATCTTCCTAAATAGACCTAAGAATTTCTTGAGCTTGCTAGTGTTTTTTTTGTCAGAATCTTTTTGCTTAGTGGATTGCCTGGTCAGTTGATGACCCCTAGTTTTTCCCAATAGTGGGTTTCTGGGTGAACAATTTCTAGTTTCCATCTCTGTAAATTTTCTAGGTTTGTGTTCTTGATAGTTGACTAGTCATCGTATGATGTTCATGTGTTTTCTAGGTTTGTGTTCTTGCGGTTGACTAGTCATCATTTTCTGTTGTTTGGTGTTTGCTTGATTATGTTGTCTTCACACACATTCACCATAGTTGTTGCTAGCACAGGGGATGCCTAGATTGACGAGTCCTTCTGAGTGCCTAGGTTGTCACTAGTAATTATCTAGGCTTGCATGTATATCTTGGTATGCTCCATGTATGTAATTGTTTGGTATAATTTATATTTGATAGTTAACTAGTCATAAGAGTATTTGGTCTAGGTCTAGAGTGTGTGAAGTTTGTTGTGTTCTTGGTTGAATTTCTTTTAAATTTATCTCTCGTCACCTAAGTACCAATTTCAATTAAGTCACGTGAATAGTGATTATTCTAGCAATTGTTTTGATGCATTCTCATCCATTGTCATGGCAACCACTATTTACATGAGATATGAGGAGAGGAATTTGTATAGATTTTGGTGTAGGAAGTGAAGAATATGACTAGGTATTTATAGAAAGAAAAAAAATCTGAATTTTTTGGTATATAAATTGGCCACTTAAGTCACGCTGACCTCAGCATGACATCAGCTTGCCTAGACAAGTCTTGCCTTTAGGCTTACCTAGTTTCATGGGCCCACTTCTTTCCATGGCAACTTTTCCTTGGTGATGGTTGTTTTTGGAACCTAGGACCCCTTTTACCATGGCAAAAGAGGATGGGTGAAAGTGCTCTGAGGCATAATATATGAAGGGAATAGTTGAGCTTATTATCAAATTTCTCAAAAATCATGACTGATGGAGAAAATTATAAGGCATAATTGATTAGGAAATGGTTGACTCTTCTCTACATGCTTGGTATAAATATACGCCCCACATGAATTTGGGCCTGCTAAAAGTTTTAAAAAATGGTGGGTGGAAGATATGATTGTGTTTTTTCAAATTTACATGGTTGGTGTGAAGATAAGGTAGGTGGAGAAATAGGACAACTGGTGGAAATAGCAGCACTCTTTAGAGAAAGAGATCATAAATCCAAACAAAAAAAGAAAATTATAATTCTCCCCTAAAACGGAATTGAATTAACAAACCAACCAAATAGATATTTACCTTATATAAAAAAACCAAATAAATATTTACATACATTTGTTCTCTTGCTGTAAGAACAGATGTATATAAATAGCTAGAGTGTACATAGTGGGATCAAATCATATCGAGGATAAGCAAAATGAAAGGAAAAACTTCACGGGTGTTGTACTATTTTCTGCTCTTGGCTTCATTAGCCTTCAAGCCAAGTTCCTGCTCCAGTACTTTGTCAATTGGGAAAAAGTACTTTGTGCGTATCGTCAACGATCTGGACAACAAACCACTTGACTTCAGTTGTAAATCTGGTGATGATCAAATCAATCGCAGTCTTCCTACTGCTGGATCACAGTTTGAATTTGGATTTCGACTCGGGTTTACGACTCAGTTCAATTGTGACCTGCGGTACTCAACTTACCATGCTATGATTATTGCGTTTAGAGATGACGAGGCTCTTCTTAATGATTGTGGTGGAGTGCATTGCATATGGAGTGCGAGAGAGGATGGAATATACTTATATAGGATCAAGCATGATGATTATAAAAAGTGGTATGACTGGGAAAAGCAAATTCAAACATGAAATTTGTCGGGCCTTGAGTTCTGATATATTTGTACTCAAAATAAATATAATAAAGGGATTTGTTTTTGTTTAGATTCCTCTTACTTTTTTATTCAATTTCTATATCTTGGTTTTGTTTTGGAGTCTGATCAAGACAGTGAGTCTGCTGAACAATCAAATTTTTCATCTCTCGCTCTCTTCTTATTCTTAATGTCTTTATCTCTCCTATGCACTTGTAATCCTACTTGTCAGTATGATTATCAATTTCAAGTTTCGTTTTATTGATACTGGATATCAATTTCAAGTTTTATTCTATCATTGCAGCTTTCAAGTGTTGGTGCATCTGATTTGGTATGTTTCAAGAGCAATTTCCATGGGGCTTTTTTCTTTTGGGAGTTTCATTATTATGCTTAATATATGAGCCCAAATTATTATATAAAAAAACCTACATTAAATGAATTTTAGAAACACACCCAAAGCGCATTTACAACATAACAAAGAGACTTTGAACTTCCTATAATTTATAAAACAAGCCAACCTCAAAAGCTCACAGATAAAGCCAAAACAAAAGGGTAAAATCGAAAATTAGTATATTAAGTAAACTCAAAAATAGGACAGCTGGCAATAGTAGGGTTTTTTTTTCGGGTTGTTGTAGAATTCAGTATTATTATTTGATTTTAAAAGAGTTATTTGGTATTAAAGTTAAAGTTGAGAGAGAGAGAGAGAGAGAGAGAGAGAGAGATTACGACTTGGGAGCACATCAAAGGCGAGAGCCAACCAACACACACCCCATTGGTATGAAAAAATTATCTTAATGAGGAAAAAAAGTCCGGTTGGCGTGCGTGTGGTATTGAACTAATTAAAAAGATAAAAGTAAAATATATATGCGACCTCACCAAAGAGAAAATTTATCATATATATCCATATCTAGCCTATTTATGTGGCTTGCCAAAAGAATCTGAGAACATATGCATGCATGCTGGGCTGGATGATCAAAAACTCGAAACAGCTATAGGTTTAAAAAAATCTTTTTCTTATTTTAAATTGGTTTTAATGTTCTATTAATATTTTAATCAATTTAAGTTAAAAAAACAAGTCCCATAATACTACATCATCACTTAACAGATTATTTAAGAGTCATTCTAACAGCAGTCACATTGCCACATGATGTCGTGGGAATTCAAACCTTAGACCTCTTGTGGCATATATTAAAACAATAATACGTAGCATATATTTTAGCTTTCTTTTTTAATAAAATAAATTTGACCACTTTAATTGATCGCATAGCTCACCACATGATGTGGTAAGTTGTCAATTAAATGCATTCAAATAGGATTACTTGAAATAGTACAAACATTATTATCACTTAAATGTGGTCAATTAAGTGTGTTCAAATAACGTTACTCTAACAAATATCTTTATTATTAATATGAAATGTTATATTTGTTTACACATTAAAACATGAACTCACTTGAAAAACAATCCAAATTCATAATCTAAGAACATGTCCAAATTCATATGACTCTCGCCTGAAATGGAACTGAATTAATTAATCAATAACAAAATTACAGTTTTTAGAAAGAAAGAAAATAAGAAAACAAATAATTCTTTTGCTATAAGAACACACATATACATATATATATATATATATATAGCTAGAATGCACGTACTGATCAACTCATGTTGAGGATTAGCAAAATGAAAGGAAAAGCATTACGGCAGTTTTTATTTAATTTTTATCCATATTGATGATCAGAAGCAGTGATATATAATTAAGAATGCGAAAGTGGTAGATGAATTTGTTTATAAATTAATCAAAAGCAAGATTGAAATTTCCCTATCAAATGAACCCCAAAAAAATACTTCCCTTCCCATATCCATTGTTTGATGAGGGTGGTTGCAGACATAGGAAGCAAAACAGAACGTGATGCAGGAAGAAGGAGAACCACCCAAAAAAAAAAAAAAACAAGAGGACTCAGATGATTCTTATTATGTTCATACTCTTCTTGGTAATAATATTTTTGTGTTCTAACATTGGAGACAGAAAAGAATGATGAGCGATAAGATTTGGGGGTGTGGGGAGAAGTGCAGAGAAAGAAGAAGAAGAAATAAAAAAAAAAACTGCTACAGCCGTTAAGTTTAGGCGTTAGTCAAATTAAGGTTTTTTTTTTTTCATTTTTAATTAGGAGTAAATTGAATTTTTATTTCAAGGAAGATGTGTTCAATTTAAATTCATTAGATTAAATTTTAATGAGGTGTTAGGTAGAGAACAAAAGTCAAATAGATCCTGGTAGAGAAAATCAAGAGTAGAGGATCTGGATCCTATATATATATGCACAATCTTTACTTAATTTTTACCATGCAATCTTAATTACACAACCTCACCTTGCAAATAACTTTTATCAATTTTTGTTGTTGTTAAATTGTTAGATTATTGATAAATAAACATGTCTCAAAATTTCATTCAAAATTTACATAGTTTTTTTTTTTTTTTTAATTTAAATTTTCATTGTTTTTATTTTAATTTTTATCGATATTGATATTTTCCTTGAAATTTTTACATTTTGGGACTATCGATATTTTCCTTGAAATACCAGACATTTAAGACCTTGCATGTAAGTGAGAAATAAAAAAAAACACAAAAAGCATGTTTCAGAACAATATAGCCATATTTGAATTGCTCAAAGTTGAAAGTTTAGCTCCTTAGTTTTTTAAATATTGTATTGTAAATTGCTTAGGTAACGTTTGGTATCCTATTCAAGTAGCGAATCCAAAAACTTTGATTTTTCTTAAAATTAAGGAGTTCTAAAATCCTTTTCTTAATATTCAAACACTTGTTTATAATCTTATTCGAGCGGGGAACGCAAAACTCCGATTTTTCTTTTAAACAAGGAGTTCTAAAATCCACATTTTAATATTAAAAACTCGTTTGGTATGCAACTTAAAAAACAATATATATAATTAAAATTCTTAAAAAAAACGAAAAATAATAATATGTTTTTAAGTATTTGAGTGTTTTTGAGTTATTTTTTAGTTTAGGTTTCCAAAACTAAGCCTACCAGCCAAACCAGCTGATGGTGATGATCAAAATTTTTTTAAATAAAAAGTATAGGCGCCTTACTATACTCTTTAAATATAGTATAATTAAATAGTATAGCCGTTCAGCTAGTACAAGATGTTTGGCACTTAAGCTCCTTCTGCGATTCCATCAAGTTTGCACATGTGTTTCGTGAAGCCAACTTCGTGGCAGATTCTCTTGCGCAACCTTGGCCATAAGCTTTCCCCTTCGTTCCTTTGGGAAGTTGGGTTGCCGTTACCTGCTGCTCCCACTTTGCTTTGTAATTTTCCTTTCCGCATAAAAAAAAAAGAAAAAAGAAAAATGTTTCCTAGCATCATATTGTTGAAATAAATATTCAAGACCAGCATTTAATTATGGATGTAAAATGGTAAAATTGTATAAAAGGTTAGAATAAAAATAGTAAAAAGGTGGAACAAATTGTATTGGTGAGCTCCATCTCAATTAAAGAGGCGGTATATAAAATGTGGTAAGTATTGATTTGGCAAGAGTACTCTTATTTCACAGAGAGTTAGGTACAACATGGTGACGTGAACATGGACACAATAAGATGAAAAAGCGATAAGGTGCAAAGTGTGCGTTTTAGGCAAATGCAACTATGTTGTCGTGGATTGACTTAAACTGATTTAATTAATTCAATGATTAATATTGTTGTAAATGCATATAAAAGCACGGGTACATATGTAGAATGATATTCCTAAAAATAAAATGTAAATGATCAAAACGCAAGGCATTCTTTTACTATAAAAGCATGCATAGCAAGAAGCGTAGAATGCACTACATACTGAGAGCATGAAACAAATGGAGGGAAAAGCAATGCAGCATTTCTGCTATTCTGTGCTCTTCTTGGCTTTGGCATTTGGCCCAAGTATGATCTGCTCTGGTCTTCCCATCATGACAAAGCGCTTTGTGCGCATTGTTAACTTGCTCGACAACAAGCAACTTGTCTACCATTGCCGTTCACAAGATGATGATCTTGGTGAACGAACTCTTGCTTCAAAGCAGGAGTGGGAATTTGAATTCCATCTGGACTTCGAGAGCTATTTCAATTGTGAGTTTTGGCACTCCAGTGACCACCATCAGAAGTTCGATGTGTTTGTTCCCAGTGATAAGTTTGTTCACAGGTGTGGCGGGGCTCATTGCATTTGGCATGTAGAAGAGACTGGATTCTTCTTATATCACATCAAGACTGGATGGTGGGAAAAATCTTATGACTGGATAATAGGAGGGTGAAAAAAGCCATATTTTCTCCACATCCATTGGATTGAGCTCCAGTTGTAGTAAAATGAAATATAATAAAGGGAGCTGTTCTGGGTTTAGTTTCCTCATACTTTTTGTTTGATTGTATTTTCATTTCATCAGAATCTTGAGTTTGTTTTGGTTCATGCTTAGAAGTAAAGAAACACTTATCGCTGATCTTTTCGGAACTAAAAATAGAGTTAATTGCACAATGTGTTGGAATCCCACATCGGTGGGGTGAAAGAAAACAAATGGGTTTAAATAGAATTACCACACTCTAACTAATACCGAGGCCTTTTGTGATAAAAACCTCACACCTGACGGATTGGGCGGGTGGTAAAGTGGGGACAGTATCGGTGTTGTTAGAGTGGGACCCAACGGGCAGATCCAAATTTTCAACACAATGACCCCCAGAATTTATATAATAACTTCAGTTTTTTTTTTTTTTTTTGAAATGGGAACTTCTATTGATGAACAAAACTAGTTCAGAGTACAAGAATCCTCAAGAAGCAGGTCCTGTATGATCTAAGGCTTCAACGAGCAAACCGATGAGTCCCAACATTTTGGCTCTCTAAACACACCTGAAGGTTTCAGAATTATTTAACATAATGCCACTACAAGGGAAAAATCATTAACAGAGCTAAATAGATAAAAATGCTAAAACACCCTTGTAGAGTTGTAGTATTGCTTTTGTTCTATTCAATTTTTCTAAAATTTTAAAACACTATTTTTTTAATACAAGTGATAGTTTAATTAAACTACAAGGGTATGATAGTTTAAAAATAGAGTTCATTGCATACATTGGCAGCCAGAATTTACATAATACCTTCCGTTTTAAAATTAAACAAACACAGCTTAAGGTTCCAGGGTTATTGAACATAATCCACTACAAGGAAAAAATCATTGGCAGAGTAGAAGTATTGTTTTTCTTCTATTCAATTATTCTAAAATGTTAAAACACTATTGCCAAAGATATAGATGAGTAGAAAATGACTTTGATTTGCAGATCAGTTGTCTATTCGAATTGCTATGGCACCTTGGTATTGTGTGTGTGAGAAACTCCGCTTCCCCTTAAAATTTAGACTATCGCTTCTTTTAAAAAACCAAAAACAAAATGTTAAAACACTATTAGGTTGAATACATTTTAGATTTTTTTTTTTTTTTTTTAACAAAACAAATTTTACCACATTAATTGACCATTTAATGTGGAAGGTAACGGGGCAATCAAGTGTGTTCAATTAGTGTTATTTTTTGGAAGCATTTTCTCTCATCACTTTAACCTAAGGTGTACCCTCATCACTATTCTCAACACTTGACAAGTGTCCATAGGCATAGCCATGGTTCCATAAATACAAAGTAAAAGTTAACTATGGTTATGCCTATGGACATGTGTCAAGTATTGAGAATGGTAGTGAGGGGTGAGCAAAAATATTTTTTTTATTTTTTATTAACTACTATGTTGACCATTTAATGTGGAAGGTAACGGGGCAATCAAGTGTGTTCAATTAGTGTTATTTTTTGGAAGCATTTTCTCTCATCACTTTAACCTAAGGTGTACCCTCATCACTATTCTCAACACTTGACAAGTGTCCATAGGCATAGCCATGGTTCCATAAATACAAAGTAAAAGTTAACTATGGTTATGCCTATGGACATGTGTCAAGTATTGAGAATGGTAGTGAGGGGTGAGCAAAAATATTTTTTTTATTTTTTATTAACTACTATGGGGTTATTTTCAAGTTCAAAATCATTTTCTAAAACATTTACAACTGTATACACAAACTCCTGGAAAATCTACATTTTACCCACTTCGTTAGACAAACTGTTAGTGTATCTGTCAAATGCTGATGTGGCAAATATAAGCCCCTTTTTTCATGACGTGGACTCCAAGTGGACAAAACAATAAATAAACAATTCTTTATTTTTTTCAAATTAAACAAAAAAAGTTAAATAATTATATTAAATAAATACATTAAAAGTGAAATTTTTTTATATAAAAAATCAATAATTGTATTCATAAATTAGACACAAGGATCACCAGCCACAGGGGCGAGAACAAGTACAAATACCCACAAATGGTTAATATAGATATGTTAGCATAGTAACCACATATGGTTAATCCAGATATATGCAACATAAAACCAAAACAATTTCAACATAAAAGCCGCACACCTGAGCAAATCTTCCAATACAACTACAATCTTTAAACTCTCACAATTGCAAAATACAAATAGAGAGTAGATTACAATCAAAGACCCAACTCAACTCACAAAGTTATACAATTATTACAAGTCAAGAAAACTGACTGAAATTGAAAAATGCATGAGATCCCGAGCATTATACCTTAGTCCCCAAACCCTCCGTTGTCTCTGGCGTCGCCATTTTCGCCATCACGGATCCCAACAAACCCACCGTTGGAGTTTCTTCTTTCTTTCCTACACCACCGTTGGAAAAACATTTCGGTTTTTCCAGTACTTTTACACAATCGGGTCTGCAACGTAAAAACGTAAAATACAATTTAGTTTATACTTCGCCATTATTCCTAGCATGTGTGGGATTATCTTTCGCCATATATGGGATATTTGTAATTCTTCTTCAAGCAGTAGGTATGGGTACCCTTGTGGAGTGATATATATATTTTGTGATGATGTAGTTAATTTGCGATGTTGTATTTAATTTCATCGCAATTTAGGTGCTTTAAATTGTTCTGGGAAGAAATGAAACGAAGCATACTCTCTGGCTTTTAGGCCAAGAAAGCATTCGTGGATTCTGAGCATTTAAGTTCCCTTCGAAATAATTGCCTCATTCCACCTTGGATGAGCATATCCTTATGCTAGTCATGTTGGCTTTTGCACTATAAATTAGGGAGAGAGAGACGTTCTCTCTCTTCAACTTAATTCGTAGCCCTACTTGAGGGAAAAAAAAAAAAAAAAAAATGTCCCTTTCAGAGAAATGCCCTTCCCCTTATGCTATTGCTACTTATACTCTTACACTCCCCCAGTATAAGTGCTGGCATTATTCCAACGGAGGTGACCGTCCGTCTCGGGAACCTGTCGGCAACCAACTTGGGCATGACCGTGCACTGTAAATCCAAAGACGACGATCTTGGCTCTCACATACTTTTTCCAAAGGCAGACTATGAGTTTCAGTTCAAACCAATTTTTTTGCGCACCACGCTATACTTTTGCAGCTTCAAATGGTCGGGTAAATTGCACTATTTCGATATTTATAAGGCTGACAGGGATGACTGCACCAAATGTTTTTGGTCTGTACTTCAGGATGTCCCTTGTTTGTATGGTCCTAACCCTCCAAAGTGTTATAAGTGGAACGAAAAGCTTGGTGCATGAGAGAGGCTGTATTACTTACTACACATTATTGTTATGTTTATGTAGCCCTTGTTCACAGTGAATAAAATTAATCCGTTCATCTAATGTTCTGATTCTTGCTTTACTCGTATGTGTGATCCACTCACTCTGATCCAGCTTTGAAGCATCTCATTTTTCTCCTAACAAGCATTTAGAAATTTTACGTCGGCAAATTGTTGATATGAAGCATTGATTTGCAAAGTACTCTTATTTTATGTCTACTTTTTCCTTTATCTTCATGTTCACTGATATCTTCGATTTTATCTTGAAATCATATCTTCACGTAAGCCAAAAAGAAAATAGCATTTATATTTAAAGATATAAAAAAAAAAAAAATGTTCCATAGTGGGTATTAAATTTAAAAGCCCATTTGGTAGGTTTTAAGTAAGCCCATGTGGCTCATATTTTATTGGTGGATTACGGTTTCCAACTTAGCTAACCATATATATACATAATCTTCTCACATAATCTTCTCACTTACTTTCTTTTGTTTGGGTAGAGGTCACTATCGGGAACCATTTGAGAGAGCCAGAAATATGTAGGGTGAAGGAATTGTGACTCATTTCATTTTGTATATGTGAAATAAATAATCTTCTCTTTTTGTTTTGGATGTGAGTTTGTTTGTTGTAGCATTTGGGAGATAATATATCCTTAGCATTTAACTACTTCAAATTTGGTATTCTTCTCTCTTTTATGCCATGTTTGGTTTGCGGAAAAGATTTGATGGGAAATAATTTCTCATGTACCCAAGAGAGGGAGGAGGGTTAAATTTCCCTCCCTATTTTCCCATGCACCATGCAACCATTTCCCATGCATGTGGAATTCAGGTCTATGATGTTAAATTTCATAGAGATCAGAGATGGGACAATGTCCCACTATGAGTAACACCAATATTGTTCTAAACTTAACCACCTATAAAGCCCAGTTGGTGTAGGGTTTTATCACAAAAGGACTCGATGCTATTAGGAGTGGAACCACTTATTATAAGTTGTAATTTATTTAGTCAAGTTTCCAGTGTGGAACTTTATATTCTTCAACATACGAGAGTTAAACACTCTTCTATGATCTCTTTATGTTATTAGTGAAATTTCCTCACTATCCTTGAACTGAACGTAGAAGCTTATGTAGTTTTCCTGAAAATTTGGAGTCATGCCAAGTATACTGAACATAGAAGTTTATGTAGTTTTCCTTAAAATTTGGAGTCATGCCTAAGTTGTTGGTCATGTGACTTAGATGATACCAATCACTCATGATGGATCCAAACTCTTTAAGGCACGATTGGTATACTTTTTCTTTTTTTTTAATTACTTTCCATTTCTTTTGTAAGCATGTATTTGACAACTTTATGGTGTATTTACATCACCATACATTATATATGAGGGAAGGTTAATTTAGGTTGTACGTACCCTATAAAATTCCTCCAGGTATATGAAAACAAAATTAGCGTTCTTTTGCTATAAAAGCATAAAGCTAGAAGCCTTGAATGTCCATGCTGAGAGCATGAAACAAATGGAGGGAAAAGCAATGCGGCAGTGGTACTATTTTCTTGTGCTCTTCTTGGCTTTGGCATTTGGCCCAAATATCTGCTCTGGTCTTCCCGTCATGACAAAGCGCTTTGTGCGCATTGTTAACTTGCTCGACAACAAGCAACTTGTCTACCATTGCCATTCAAAAGATGATGATCTTGGTCAACGTACTCTTGCTTCCCAGCAGAAATTTCATCTCGACTTCGAGACCATTTTTACCTGTGATTTTTGGCACTCAAATAACCACCATGCTCATTTCGATGTGTTTTATCCCAGTAACAAGTTTGTTCACAGGTGTGGCGGGGCCCATTGCATATGGAGAGCAGAAGAAATTGGACTCTCCTTATATCACATCAAGACTGGTCTCTGGGAAAAATCTTATGATTGGGAAATATATGGAAAAACATTATGAGTAAAATCTAAGTACTGTATAACTTGGGATCCTAGATTGTACGACCACAGTAAATTATAATAAAAGGGATATATATATGTTCTTGTTTTTTTTTTTTTTTTTGTCATCTTCATTTCACATTCTCACAGGTCTAATTTTCAAGTCTAATATTTTTTTATATAGAAAGAGAATTTATTCATGGAATTAAAGACATATAAAGAGCGATATGATACAGTGACCTCGTTAAAACCTTTCTAGGACAACCTCATGAGACAAACTTCAGGGGAGGAAAGAGCATGTCATGAACTAACAAGCGAGTCTAGCACTTAAAAACTCATATTGGGTGATGTGGAGTACGTGTAACTCTGATACTATGAAAGAAGTTGAAGCTCTACCTCAAAAACCAATTGACAATCAAAGTTGTAGCTCAATTCTTCCTTTCAAGGTTTCTCAATTTTTCAATGTGGGACATCTTCACATCCTTACAGTTATTCCCATTTAGTGAATAGATTAATCATATAATTAATATTTTGTTAAGTGACCCCTAAGTACTAAGGTACAAAACTAAAAGAACAAATTTGGGGTAACTATATGTCTCATGTGGTGTTACTTGAATCGGGGCAATCGAAAAAGTTTGCAGCACATATTACCAATCGAGCAAGCTTGAGTCGCACTATATTCCAAGGGCATATCAATCATCTCGTTTCAATTCCAAAGCCAATTGATTTTCAAAATTTAAGAAGAAGGTATTTTCTTTAAAATAATAATATAAATGTTTCAAAATAGGTTTTTTTTTCAATGTTTCAACATAGTTAACGTTGTTAATACTTGGCTAAGTGGAAGTACCGATTCCAACAACAAAAAATGTGGAAGTGTAAATGTCACTCGGTTAAGCAAGGGTCACAGAGGGGGAAGACATTTGGGGACAGTGCATCCGCTCCCCTCTTTTAGGTGCTGCGGATGTGTCTCATATTAATGATGACGAGAATTATTACTATTTTCTTATATATTTGGTGGTCGGTGGGGAAATAAATATGAGGTAGAAATAGTAGCACTCTTTTTTAGTATTTTAAAATGGGGAAATGATAGTAATCTTCTCTCTAACCTTCTCTTTTGGACCTTCTCCCTTTAACTCATGACATGTGTCATTAATGTATCACATAAACTAATTTTTATTTTCCAAATTTATCCTTATTAAATATATTGAATTTTTTTTTTCCCAAGAAATTAGCCTTTTTAAAATTTTATTTCTTATCACCTTTTTTTTACTTTAAACGTCAGTTTTTGTTTAATGTCCGTTTTTTTATTCTAGAAAAATAGATGTTGCTGATAAACTTGTTTCTTTTACTGATATGTTTATTGTTATTACTATTTATGTTTTACTGTTATGTTTTTTCTTCTTCTTATAATTACCTGAAAATAATATCTTTAAAACATCTTTTTCGTGAAATGACTATTCATGGAACTGATATCATTTTTGTTGTGGAAAAAAAAGTTCTCTTCGAAAAAAAGAAAGAAGAAGACACTTTTTAAAATAAATAAATAAATTTTTTTTTCTTATTTATATATATTTTAATAAGGTGGTAATAAAGTTGTGAAAAAACCAATACATTAAATAAGGATAAATTTGAAAAACAAAAATTAGCTTGTATGATGCATTAATTACATTGTTTTAAGTATAAGGATAATGACACATGTCATTAGGAAAAACAAGAAGGTCCAAAAGAGAAGGTTAGAGAGAAAGTTGCTAACATTCCCCAAGGAAGGACAAATATCTATTCAAATTAAGAAATAATTAGCACTAATATTGTTTCTAAACGTGCCAAATTGTTAATCGGAAGCATGAATTTCACGATGGTCGACTTTTTTGTGTCGTCAGATTGCCTTTAGTTGTCATTCTGAATCAATCCTTTATGCAGTTTTCCATAAAAACATGCTTGTATATGACAATTTTCATTTATGTCCGGTGTATGCATTACTCAAAATATGACAAGATTATAACCAAATATGAAAACCAAATAATATAATTTTGCTATAAAAGCATATGCAGGCAGCAGATTGCAAATGAAGGGAAAAGCAATGAGGCAGTTGTTCTATTTTGTGCTCTTCCTTTCTTTGGCATTTGGCCCAAGAAGCTGCTTTGGCTTCTGGCCTGGGAAAAAGCACTTTGTGAGAATTAAGAACGAGCTGGCCAACCAACAACTAAACTACCATTGTGAATCCGATATGTACGATCTTGGCGATCGCATTCTTGCTCCCCATCAGGAGTGGGAATTTAAATTTCAAGCTTTGTGGGTCCCTTAATGGACACGTTATCAGTTAACGTCTGACCAAACGGTCAACTTAACGGAAGACTTAAATTGGTCAGATTTGAAAATCATAAGGTGTAAAATAATGAAATTGAAACCTGATGACTCATATTGAGAATGACCCCAAACCTTAAGGGGGTCTTTCGATGTTAATCCTTTTTTTTTTCTCTTGCTTCACGCTATGTCCTCTTCTCTTTTTTGCCTTCTTCCTTACATTCTTGCTTTTTTTTTTCCTTCTTCATGTCTCTGCCCCAAATCTTACCTCTCAGTAAGCTTTCTTTTTCCCAAACCTATGTAATCATAATCCCTTCCTTTTTCCCTATCAAAAGAAGAAGAAAAAACTTTTCCTCCCATATCCAAAGGATTTCTTTGTTGTTAATCAACTCAACACTTGGCTGAAATAACTTTTAATGTTGAATTACAACGGGGTTGAATCTGGCAAGGTGTGAGTCTCACATGAGCATTTTAAATGACATGGCAGTACATGTGTTACTCAACAGATGACTAGTAATATCCTAATACATTCTAATGTGTGTAATGCATGATTTACCTTTGAGGTGATTTGCATTTAGCCACACTTTGTCTCTGTCATAGTAGGCCTCTCCAAACTAGTCTAACCACTAATCAAACTTGAGCTTGATGATGTAGAGCAGCAAATACAATGTTTTCCAAAAAAGCCAAAAAACAAAATAGCTAAAGCTAACCTAAGAGAAAGGCAATAATAAATCAAAGGACAAAATCAAGGATGCTGGAGGTGATTAAGGCATGATATGTTTCTGTGATTGTAGGCCTCTCCAAACTAGTCTAACCTAGACTATTTAAACTTGAGCTTGATGATTTATAGTATCAAATACAATGTTTTCCAAAGAAGCCAAAAAAACAAAAGCAAAAATAGCTGAAACTAACCTAATAGAAGGGCAATAATAAATCATAGGATAAAATCAAGGATGATGAAGGTGATTAATGTAAATGTATGGATTTTGTAATTTTCTTTTAGCTTCCCTTGACAAGTTTGCAATAGGACAATCATTGTATTTTCTCAAGCTCAAGTTGAGATTAAGAATTTCATCTCTAGGTGTTCTTACCTGACTACATTATGATGGACAACATTGTGTTTGACGAAGGTAAGTTTTGCATTGCATTAACCTATTCCTAAATATTATGACTAGTCATCCTTTCTCCGTATGACTAGTTATCATCCATATGACTAGTCATCCTTCCTCCATATGACTAGTCAACCTTTGCGTTAGTAAGATTTCCAGGTTACTGTTTTCAGCTGGATCCTATCCACTTTTTTGTCTTATTCTGCGAAATCTTCTGCTGTCTTGTACGATTCTAACCTAAGAATTTTGGAGTAAAAACGCATGCATTCCTCATTTGGTAGCCGTCACTTTTGTAGGCACGTTTTGGAAAGTTTCTCTATAAACTTTCTCTTCTTCCTCAAGTGTAACCTTCATATTTTTCATATTTGAGTTTTCCAAAAATTTTCTTTTTGAAAACTGCATTTGAAATATGAAAACCTCATCTTGCTAGATCAAACACTCTCTCATATATATTTAGGTCAGATTCAAGATTGATTTCTTCAAGAGTATGGTTTCTTGAAGAAATTGGTCATTCTTCCTTTGAATTCAAATTTCCTTCTTGTTTGAGTTGGAGCTAGCCAGCTGGTGCCATGGGATGAAAGAGCTGAAGAATGAGCTGTCATTGTCATGAAGACCTAAGTTGCTGGTTTTGCTAAGCTAGAGAAGAAGATTGCACAAAGGAAGTAAAGCTCATCTTTCTAAATAGACCTAAGAATTTCTTGAGCTTGCTAGTGTTTTTTTTTGTAAGAATCTTTTTGCTTAGTGGATTGCCTGGTCAGTTGATGACCACTAATTTTTCCCAATAGTAGGTTTTTAGGTGAACAATTTCTGGTTTCCGTCTCTGTAAATTTTCTGGGTTTGTGTTCTTGATAGTTGACTAGTCATCGCATGATGTTCATCTGTTTTCTAGGTTTGTGTTCTTGCGGTTGACTAGTCATCATTTTCTGTTGTTTGGTGTTTGCTGGATTATGTTGTCTTCACACACGTTCACCAAAGTTGTTGCTACCACATGGGATGCCTAGATTGACGAGTCCTTCTGAGTGCCTAGGTTGTCACTAGTAATTGTCTAGGCTTGCATGTATATCTTGGTATGCTCCGTGTATGTTATTCTTTGGTATAATATATATTTGATAGTTGGTCTAGGTCTAGAGTGTGTGAAGTTTGTTGTGTTCTTGGTTGAATTTCTTTTAAATTTATCTCTCGTCACCTAAGTACCAATTTCAATTAAGTCACGTGAATAGTGATTGTTCTAGCAATTGTTTTGATGCATTCCCATCCATTGTCATGTTAACCACTATTTACATGAGATATGAGGAGAGGAATTTGTATGGATTTTGGTGTAGGAAGTGAAGAATATGACTAGGTATTTATAGAAAGAAAAAAAAATCTGAATTTTTTGGTATATAAATTGGCCGCTTAAGTCACACTGACCTCAGCATGACATCAGCTTGCCTAGACAAGTCTTGCCTTTAGGCTTACCTAGTTTCATGGGCCCACTTCTTTCCATGGCAACTTTTCCTTGGTGATGGTTGTTTTTGGAACCTAGGCCCCCTTTTACCATGGCAAAAGAGGATGGGTGAAAGTGCTCTAAGGCATAATATATGAAGGGAATAGTTGATTAGGAAATGGT